ACATCAGTTAGAAATTTGCTAAGGCTGTTTTTGTGGGGGACAGACCCCTGTAAATGAGAGCAAGCGAAAAGTAAAAGAAATCATAAAAATAAAATAACAAAATTGTGAAAAGCAAAACCTAATAAAACAAAATATTTACATCTTTTTGGTCAGGACAAAAACAGTAGAGTGGGTGGGTGCGTTACACTTATTGGAGTCAGGATTGACATTGTTATGTAACAGGGCATAGGTTTCTGCCAGGCGTTCAGGAGTGAGGGCAGTTGAGATCAGGCGTGTGGACAATGAACGAATACAAGGTATACAAAAGCAACCACAAGTTATTAGAATGGCTAAACAAACTCCTATGGAGATAATCAGGGACATGATTATGCTCTTCTACCGGCCAAACATTTTGTTGAACCAATCAGAAATTGGATTGTTAATCCCAGAGGCATCCTGTATTCCTTGAGATAGGTCCTTCAGACCTTTTAGGGCTCTGGCTACTTTACCATCGGGTGCTGTATTATTTGGTATAAAGGTACAATATTGTTCACCAATCATGGAGCACACACCTCCCTTCTCTGCTAATAACATGTCTAGAGCCATCCTATTTTGAATCGCCATTTTAGAAGTGGGACGTAGTTGGTCAGATAGGCCTTCAATGGCATCACGAGTTAGGTTGGTGTATTATGAAATTCTTTATCAAAGGGTTCGTGAGCGATCGGCACCAGATATTCAGACAAGAGGAAAATGAAACACAAGGGACTGTAACGTGCTAGAATAATATTGTCCTTTATTAATCTGCCACAAGAAAACAGCCAAGCAAAGTCATGTACACTTTGTACACTCTTAACACACAAATTGATATGAGTATCTCTCACCGTGACAAGTGACCGGGAAGCCTTTCGATCCAATGACAGAACTCACATCACAACTGGCATGGCACCGCGCGCTGGTCCACACAAGACTTCCACTTTGTCACAGTATTTGTGCTCCTTAAATACCCCTTCCCGACCGGATCGCGTGAGAGTAGATGAAAACAAGTTTGATGGTTGCCAGGAGGACAGATTTAATTAAATCTGTTTTTCCATCATCAAAGCAGTCTGTGCAACAGAGCGATGGCTTCATAAAAACATGTCCTTCAAAATCTGGGTCACCGTAACCTTAAGATTGGGCCAGGTCTTCTGGTTAGAGCATCCCCCAGAGAACTTTAATTACTCCAAAACACATCTGCAGCACAGGCCTGACTTT